CCTGTTGCTTCTCCCGCTGCTGCTCGTACTGCTGCTCTTGTTGCTGCTGCTGCTGTTACTGCTGCTGCTGCTGCTGCTGCTCAAAACATATCTAGAAATTCTTTGCTCACAGTATCACCAACTGGAGCTGATCATTTAAAATGATCCCGTCTGCTGCCAACGTTCACAAGTGTCAGTCATGTCAAAAAGGAATAGTGTTACTGATTTGGATCAAAGAAAAGCAGGCGCTACAAACCCTATGTCCAAGCGCTGTTTCAGCAGCCGTTGGCGGCTGACCACCCAAACACTAACGAGTTAAAGCTGAAGAGACTGTTTTTGTAATCAAGTCAAAGTTTCCTACCCGACTCCCTGGAGATCTGGACGAAGGCCTCCACGCCGCTCTCACCGTAGTTTCCCTCAGACGCCAGCGTGGACACGTAGTTCCAGCCCATTGCCATCACGATGTCCAGCATGGCCTGAGCTTGGTAGGAGTCTGGAGGGACCACGCGGGAGAAGAAGTCGTAGCGGGTGTTGTCGCTGAGCTCCGGGGCGGTCGAGGCGTAACTGACCTGAGGGATCTGTGGAGAAGCAGAGAATCTGGGGTGAATGATTCCACCAATCACAGAGCAGTCCTTCAAAGGCTCGTCCTCAGAAAAAAAGATCTAAACTCAGATCTTATTGAAGACTTCAAAGACGCAAAGACAGATTAGATTTAACGTATTTCCCGGAGTATAAGTAACACCAGTGCCCTCTAGTGGCTGTCAGTGTGAAAATAACAAACATGTGAAATTATATATTTTAATATTTGTCGCACCTGAGTATAAGTCACAAACCCAATCAACGAATAAAAAAAAAGTGCGACTTATAGTCAGAAATAGGGTAGACAGGGAGCAGAAAGGGCAAAAACTACGTCTTCTGTGCTTCACGACTGTGTTTCGTCCAGTATTTTTGGGGAATTAAATCAGTCTAGTAAATGTAACCTTCCTGCTCCTTGTTGTTCGGTGTCATGTCAAAGTAGAGTTAGCACGCTGTGGCTGAAAAACGGAGGGTAAATCTGGTACAGATCCTGCCGCAGAGCGGCCGACAGGCCTGATGGGAAGGATAATGGTCCTTTATAGAAGGATTGAAGGGCTGATTGATTTTACTCCACTGAGGTGTAGGGCCAGCAGCCTCATCGGAATTCACCCAGGAGGAGGTGAGGAGGAGGAGGTGAGGAGGAGGAGGGAGGATGGACGGCCGAGAGGAGCTGACAGCAATACAAATGTCACTTGGCTGCGACTGACTGGGTGGCAGAAAGCAAATTAAAGGCCTGTACTGTAAATACATTCTTGTCTGGAAGCTGACACTATCAGAACACTGCAGCTTTAACCAATCAGAGACGAGCAGAGCTTTATTTTCCCCAGAGCCCAAAAGTCTTCAGACACTAAACTTTTTAGACCAAATGGTAACAAACTTCAGCTGATAAATTTAGAAACACAAAATACAACAGTAATAATCTAATTATCTGGGACTTACATTCACAAAGCAGTACAAACTCACCATGTTTAAATCTACAGCTTTAACGTTCAAAGACTTTTTTACTCTGAACCCTGTCATTTGGTCTCTTAGTGGACGGTGACACTGTTGAATTGAGCTAGTTTAGCTAACGCCGTGGAAGTTCCGCAAATTACAAGAAAAACATGTTGACATCATACAGTTAAAAAAACAAAAACAACTTTCCAACCAAACAACCCAAGTGTTGTCTCCATGTGAAATTTCCTGCTGTACCAATGAATTAGCATAGCTATGCTAGCTATGTAATGAAGTGGTAATAACATTGTACCTTATGGGATTGTTTGGATTTATTAATCGTACAGAGACTAACTTTATTGCACAGATACACTAATTATTGTACATCTGGAAATGTATGGAGTCAACACCGACACACTGAATAGTGAGGTAGCGAACGGAATTAGCTTTGTAATTTTAGAATCCTAAAAGCTGTTACTGTTGTGTCAGCTCTAAGTTCCACAGTGACTGAAGGAAGGAAGAAGATCACAGGGCAACGTGATCCAGGCCCAGTGTCTGTCACTGACATCGATTGAAGGAAGTTGCGCTGTCAGTCATCTCCAGTGTATAAATAGTGACTGAAGGAAGGAAGAAGATCACAGGATATGAGAGCGCTGCTGTCCTGAAGGCCAAAGGTCACGGAACCTCAAATAATGTGGTGGATTTTCAAACATTCAGAGAAAAACAGTCTCGGCATTGACAATATATTTATATGTTTTTGGTCAGATTATATTTATATATGTGAATATTTATAAATAAATATTTAACGGAATCCAGGTTGTTTCTTGGTATACGGCTGTCAGTGTGAAAAATAACGAATATATAAATCTTTAATGCTACAGGAATAGCAAATACTTATACACAAGACTAGAACGCCCTCTAGTGGCTGTCAGTGTGAAAATAACAAACATGTGAAATTATATATTTTAATATTTGTCGCACCTGAGTATAAGTCACAAACCCAATCAACGAATAAAAAAAAAGTGCGACTTATAGTCAGAAATAGGGTAGACAGGGAGCAGAAAGGGCAAAAACTACGTCTTCTGTGCTTCACGACTGTGTTTCGTCCAGTATTTTTGGGGAATTAAATCAGTCTAGTAAATGTAACCTTCCTGCTCCTTGTTGTTCGGTGTCATGTCAAAGTAGAGTTAGCACGCTGTGGCTGAAAAACGGGGGTAAATCTGGTACAGATCCTGCCGCAGAGCGGCCGACAGGCCTGATGGGAAGGATAATGGTCCTTTATAGAAGGATTGAAGGGCTGATTGATTTCACTCCACTGAGGTGTAGGGCCAGCAGCCTCATCGGAATTCACCCAGGAGGAGGTGAGGAGGAGGAGGTGAGGAGGAGGAGGGAGGATGGACGGCCGAGAGGAGCTGACAGCAATACAAATGTCACTTGGCCGCGACTGACTGGGTGGCAGAAAGCAAATTAAAGGCCTGTACTGTAAATACATTCTTGTCTGGAAGCTGACACTATCAGAACACTGCAGCTTTAACCAATCAGAGACGAGCAGAGCTTTATTTTCCCCAGAGCCCAAAAGTCTTCAGACACTAAACTTTTTAGACCAAATGGTAACAAACTTCAGCTGGTAAATTTAGAAACACAAAATACAACTGTAATAATCTAATTATCTGGGACTTTGCAATGAATTCATCTTAATTAATCATGTTTTTGTCAAATAGTAATGAAATAAGCGAAGGTTTGGTGACTGAGTCAGTGAGCATCAGTGAATGTTAACTTCAACAGGATTTTTTACACATTTTCTAACTATTATTTATATTACATTCACAGAGACGGTGACACTGTTGAATTGAGCTAGTTTAGCTAACGCCGTGGAAGTTCCGCAAATTACAAGAAAAACATGTTGACATCATACAGTTAAAAAAACAAAAACAACTTTCCAACCAAACAACCCAAGTGTTGTCTCCATGTGAAATTTCCTGCTGTACCAATGAATTAGCATAGCTATGCTAGCTATGTAATGAAGTGGTAAAACCATTGTACCTTATGGGATTGTTTGGATTTATTAATCGTACAGAGACTAACTTTATTGCACAGATACACTAATTATTGTACATCTGGAAATGTATGGAGTCAACACCGACACACTGAATAGTGAGGTAGCGAACGGAATTAGCTTTGTAATTTTAGAATCCTAAAAGCTGTTACTGTTGTGTCAGCTCTAAGTTCCACAGTGACTGAAGGAAGGAAGAAGATCACAGGGCAACGTGATCCAGGCCCAGTGTCTGTCACTGACATCGATTGAAGGAAGTTGCGCTGTCAGTCATCTCCAGTGTATAAATTACACCATGAGTCTGGGACTGAGGCCTGTGATATGAGAGCGCTGCTGTCCTGAAGGCCAAAGGTCACGGAACCTCAAATAATGTGGTGGATTTTCAAACATTCAGAGAAAAACAGTCTCGGCATTGACAATATATTTATATGTTTTTGGTCAGATTATATTTATATATGTGAATATTTATAAATAAATATTTAACGGAATCCAGGTTGTTTCTTGGTATACAATAATGGGATACAATACATAAATATATATATAATATTTATTTATATATAATATATAAATATATATACATATAGAACATATATTTATAGGTTTTTGGGCCGATTATATTTATATATGTAAATGTTTATTTTTAAATATAAATATTTATATATAATATATAAACATATATAAATATAGAACATATATTTATATGTTTTTGGTCCAATTATATTTATAAATGTAAATATTTATATTTAAATATATATTTATATTAATATATGTAATATTTATATATGAATATATATAAATATAAAACATATTTATATGTTTTGGTGCTAATTTTGTGGTTAGCGCTTGTTTATTAGCCATGGTAAATATATATCTTGCCCAGGTGGTTTCTTGGGATAAAATCTGACTTTATAGCTGAAGAGTCAGTCTCATGTTGCCTGGTACTTGTCACGTTATTATCAGCATGTTCAGAGGGAAGACGGAACATCTGCGAGAGACTACGAGAAAAGTTTAGTTTTAATAAAAACTTCTTCAGCGACCGTCTTAAGTGACTGGCAGAAACCGGATACTCCATCCACCTCGTGATTGGCTGCCGCTTTGTAAAGACACCACTGGAGGACTGCAGCTTTAATTAACAGTCTAATTGGAAAAACCTGCAGATCAATTTGAGTCACACTGGTATCACCAGCATCGCGACAGTGCAATCAGCGGTAAATAAAAAACGTGGTGAACTGGAGAGAAGGTCATTTGGTCGTGAGGTTCTTATTTCTGCCACTGTTCTAAAGACGTGCCACGAGGCATAAAGATTGAATTTTTTATTCGATTTTTTTTTCTAACTTGCTGCAGTAAAATAAAGGTATCCTTGGTAAAAAAAATCCAAACCCAGTGTCTACAAAAACTGATCCTGAAAAACACGGCATCAAATAGAAATGAATTGAAAAGAAAACACGACAACTTCAGACTGAAGATTTGTTCATTATATGAACCCAGCACCGACCTGACCAATCAGAGCCTGGTTTATTAGAAGTTTAAATAAACTTCTCTGGAATATTTATTTTCACCGCCTCCATTAAATACTTCAGCTTCTCTTGTGCTGATTCTCCAAGTCTGGAATGAGCCTCAGAACCAAAGTCCAGGTATCGTTTTCTGCTAAAAATACCAGACCTGACCTCGGATTATTACACCCAGAGTGGCATCATTCTTCAGAGAAACAGAAACCACCTGAAACCTCCACAAAAATCAATGAGCTCTGCAGTCCCACAGCTGACAGTGGTCCAGTTCTGTGTCTGTCCCTCTGCAACACACAGATGTCTCCACTGACTGTCCACTGTCCGTCCACTGACGGTCCACTGTCTCTGCATGTTCTATAGGTTTTTGACCACTTTGGAATGATTTTATATTTATATACAAATACAGTGGAACCTCAAGATACGATGCTCGTAACGTAGCATTTTTTGCCATAAGAAAAAAAACGAATCCGTTCCTTTGCCATAAGAAATAACAGAAAAAAAACGAACC